GGGCGGGGGGGACGGGACTTATTATCAACTGCCTGAGAACTAGCTTTAGGACTTTTGTAGGCATTCATTCTAGCGCAGCAGGCAACGTATGCAGTACATAAGGCACTCGGTGGCTGAGAGCAGCGTAGGATGGAGGAAAGCAGGGAGGGGGAGGGAGGGAAAGGACAAAATAACCTCACCAAAAAGCCAGTCATCGGAGGGGCTTGCCCTCAAGCTGTTGTCGGTGACCATTCGCCCACTCGCAGCCGGGAGTTAGTGAGGGCTCGGGCTCAGGTCCTGCTAATCAGACCGGACCTAATTTTGAGAGTAGAGTGCCTTTGATGATAAGGGTTAGAGAGGAGGAACTATCCGTAGGATGTTGTCTGTGGGTGCCGTGCACATGAGCCCCCTGGATGCACGCACCAACACGCATGCGCCATGCCCATTTCAGCTCCGAATCCCCCAGGCTCTGTGCGCCCAAATCTCCTTCCCATGCATACACCTTCTTCAGCCCAGATCCAACTCAATCCAATTTGCTCCCTTGCCTAAGACCAGGGGGAGCCACCCCAGCCTGGGGTGCTTTGGTTCTGCTCCTGATCTAGCTCATGAGTGGTCAGGGGTAGATCTTTTTGCTTGCCCTGGGCTCCTGCAGCAAAGTGGGTGACCTTTCAGGACAAGGCAGTCCCCTGCCTTTGCTGGAGGGGTTATAGGCAAAACAGCTCTGCTCTGTAAAAGCTCAGTCCCCAGGTGAGCATCTTGCTTCGGGGACTTGGCTACGTTTAGCCAGTTTCAAATCCAACTGGATTGAAAAATGGCCAATTAAACCAAAATAGTAATAAATCTCCATCCCAAAATTGCAGCTGACTGGGCTGGATCCTCAGCTGGTGTAGATTAGCCTAGATGCCCTGGTTTATGTGGTTCACTGACCAGGGAATGAGATATAATTCATACGCACTTAATGGGGTACCCTCTGTACCTCCAAGCCTCTGCAAAGGGACTCTAGGATGAATAAGAATCAAGCACTCAATTTGAGTGCACTCTCCTGATGTTCATATGAATCTTAATGACTGTAACTGTCCCCACCAGTAGATATGCAAAACTAATCAGATTTTTGCCAGTTTTTTGCAAATAATAGCTAAGTTTTTTTTCCCCTCCAAAGTCCCTGCTGCATTCTGGAATGGTACAAAGGGGAAATATTGCTTCAAAATATATGCAATGCAGTTAAAAGCTGCATCTTAAAAAAAAAAAAAAAAAAAGACCGATATTGTCATTTCACCAGCCAGATGCAGGAGGAGGGAGTGGGGAATATAAAGGAGTATTTAAATCTTACCTTAATTAAAACTCATGCCAATCAGATATCAATTAGAATTGCTGTGGGGAGGGGGGGGGGGACAGGAAGAAATGATTCAGGAATATTCAGTAAAGGTTTTATTAGAATTGTAAATTGTCACTGAAATTGTGAAATCTGAAGGCATTTAATGAAGCTCTTGAAACCAAGGGAGGTCAATTTGCAAAAAATTAATGAAAAATTGTTTTCTGTCATTTCCCCTATCAAATGCAGATATTTTATTGAATAATTCAAATTCTGAAAATTCTACCCAGTCCCATAGTTGGCTACAAATCTAGGGAGGGGACCTACAAAAATACCATCAAAACCTGTTTTCCTCTGCCCAATATGCATCTTCAAAATTCAGGAATTTGAAACTTCAACCCTAGGCTATTCCTTGGTCACTAAATGGGTGGGAAGAAATTGCAAACTTGGGAGAATATTTCCCCTTTGTTCATTTTTTAAACACAGCCATTTGGATGTGTATTTTCTTTCAAGTTTGACCAATTCCAGCGTGTTTGACTTCAAATTTCTAATGAATGATTCCGTGGACAGAAGTGAGTGCAATATGAACAGGTGAGGCCCACAGCCTTTCTCCCAGGACATGCTACTCAGACCGGTTTCTCATGTCTCGATAGCTGGGACAGTCATGTCCAATCACAGACGGAACAGAACATACATCTTTATCCTGTTCCTGACCACACCATCACCCGCACACCGTGCTGACCTGACCCTAATATACTGTAATCGGCTCAGCCAAAGCTTTAGACTATCCTGTGACTAGGAGCCCATGCATTCTGCAAGGGAAATTGCCATCTCTCTGCCTGCTTATCATTTACGGGCAGCAGCCCAGTCTGTAGCCGACTTGATCTGGGTGTTATAAACAGATGCTGGTATAGCCGTGACCTGGTTTAAGGAACAGGGTAAAAAAAAATGTATGCTATGCAAGAGGCAGACCTGAAATCCCATTGGTATCTATGGAGAAAGGTGCGCGGTTCTCCTTGAAATCAATAGGAAGTAAGGTGCTTAAACGCCTTTAAAAAAATCTTGTCCCCCAGTGTTTCTTCACTAGGTCAAATCCACTGATGTTCACAGCCTCTGAATTTCACTTCTCTCTCAGTCTGATGGGGGTAAGTGATGCTTTGGCCAGCCAGCTCTTGGCTGTATGAAACAAGTGATGTGCTTGCCTCTGTGCGGGCCAGGAGCTGTTGGATGTATACAAGATTCCCTCCTGGTTCCTTTCTTGACTGTGCATTCGTGAAATCTGAGGATTTAGTTAAAATCTGGCTACTGGCTGTTCACTAAGGTTGTGGATCCATGAATGATTTAACCCAGGGAAACTTAAGCTGTCCTGATTTTAAAAGAGCCTGTGCCCACCTGGAATCGATGTCTGTCTGTCCCCATCAGGGGTGTTTGACCCCTGGACAAACCAAAGTGGGTCCCTTGCACTTCCCAGGCAACAGCTGAGCCCAGCTTGCCTGTGGGCGCACAGCTGAGAGGGTGCACATTGCTTCTAGATTACCCCCGCCCCTGACCCCTTCATGTGTTCGAGGCCAAAGAGGCCCAAGGCACTTATGCCTACCAGTCTGTGCTCTTGGCATGGCACTGCGTATGGGTTGGAGTTGCACTAAACCTGTGGCAATGCCCTCCACCAAGGCATCTTTGTATCTGGGCCTCTCCCTCAAGCAAAAACAAACACTTTCTACTTTTCAAATCTCCAGCAAAATATTTGAACCCTGAGAGCCAGATCTAAGCTGATCTCTGCTGATCTAAGCTGATGCAGTAGAGCAGGGCTGTGCAATTATTTGGGGTGGAGGGCTGCTTACCGAGTTTTGGCAAGCCATCGAGGGCCGCATGACAGGCAGCCAGGGGAAGATAAATATTAATTTTCTAAGTTTTTTAGGGGCCCCATGGGCCAGATAGAATGCCCTGGTGGGTCTCATCCGGCCTGTGGGCCACAATTTGCCCACCCCTGCAGTAGAGCCACAATTAGTCCGCACCAGCTAAGGATTTGGCCGTAATCCCCAGCACTAAATGCAATATGCCAGTCCTTTCTAAGGACCGTTTGGGCTCAGAGGGGGCATGGTGTGATGAATGACCAGAGAAGGGTCCTTTAGTCCTTGTTAGCAGACATTTTCCTCCGTGGGATGGGTACTCTAGTTTATACCCACGTGCCACACTGTGGTCTTGCCACCCTATCAGTTTAGTAGACGCTGGTGACTTGTCCCTCTTATCACTATGACCATCAAAAGTCTTCAAGTCCCAGGTTCCCCCTCCCCACCTCCACCCCAGCCAGCAAATGGAAACGAGAGGAAATGCAGTTGTAGTTAGCTCAGGAATCTTGTACTGAAGGGCTTTTGGGAGGCTTCTGCAGACAGAGGCTGGGTCGCACCTTTCTTTCGCCTCGGCAGGTGGTTGGGCTTTAGAACCCAGGCCTGGCATCTTCCATGATTTACATCGCTCCCTGCCCGCTGTCCCTCTACATTTATTTTCCGCTTGAGATCGTAAACCCTCAGTGCCACAAAACCTGCTGGGACCTCTCTGTTTCGCACCCTGCATTGCGCAGGGGTTTGGTTTTTGCCGGCATCGTGGACTTTCCCACGACACGGTGGCAGTGAAGACTCCGTTGCTTCTTGACCTAGGGAGTCAAGCAAATTCCTGGTGTGCTTAACAATCCACCAAAAGAGCCCTTCCAAGAGGAAAAAGTCACGGTAGAAGTTTTCCGATGCAGCCGGCTCCTTCGGAAAGACATCAGCGGGTTATCTTTTTTTAATTCCAAGGCCTCCAAACATCTAGAATTACCTCAAGAGCAAAGTGACAGTTGAGGTGGGAATAGCCAAAAAAACCCTCAAAAAACCAAATTCAGTAAAATGTCAGATGATGTCAAGATAGGATGATATATATTTTTTGTCCTTCATTCTTTTGCAGTTGTTTTTGACCAGGTGTTTCCAGTTGTTTCTCCCCCTTAAATTCTAATTTTTCAGATGAGCTCTATTGACTTTTGTAAGTGAACCGTTTTTGTGTTTTTTTAGCATGTTTTCCATTTCAGAAGAACTCTTCCTTTGTCACTAAACTGGTCAATCAAAATTTGCCAGAGGGTAGAAGAAAACACACTCTCCAAAAAGAAAAGATAAATGAATATATGATAAAGGAAGGCTTTTTTGGGACAAAAAAATCAAGCAAAAAGACCCCTCTTTTTTGGTGAATTGTTATGCAGGCCTTTTTTGGTTGATGAGTTTTTCACGTCAAAAGATTTTATCCAGTTCTTCTTTAGCCCTAAAGTTTTGCTAAGTAGCTATGGGGAATCAAAATATCCCAGTGATCATGAGTTTGGGTGCTTTTGTTGGACAGATTTGCTAGTGTCCCTCCAGAGCTAACTTCTACCCTGACTTTTATTCCTTAAATCAGTGATACTTGATCTCTGGCCCACTGGCCAAATCTGCCTGGTGAGGCCACGTCATCCAGTTCACAGGTCTAGAAATTTGGCAGAATAAATTCCCACTTCCCTGCCGCTGGATTTCTAGACCTGTAATGTGTCCCATAGGCTGGATGACGTGGCCTGGCACTAGATCACGCTGGCACGCAGCAGGGCTGTTGCAAGGGATTGCTCCATGGCTGGACTCCTGTGTGTGGGGTCAGGCTGAGGTATGGCCAGAT